TGGCACGGAGGGGCTCAGCAGCTTGCGTGGATGTAACAAATATGTCAGGAACGGGCCTTGAAGCCAGCTCTGCCCATACGCAATGCTGCCTCCCTAGAACAGCAGCATCTAACAATCTCTTCTCAAATCATGCTTCTAAAATAACCATTAAGGGAGATGACAAGCCTGTCTGGCCACGCACTGTGGGAAGAACTTGGGATTTGGAGGTGGAGGGCTTGAAATTCTTTTCCCTGCTCTGCTGCATCCAAGCTGCATGTGATCTTGGTGAAGTCCATCCCTTCACCCCCTTTCCCCCCAGGTCTTTTATTTCCTCAAGAGTAAAGCAGGAAGGTTAAAGTAGATCATACCCACAGTTCCTTCTATCTCAAGCTTTACGGTCTTGCATTAAAGGCATGAGAAGAATACTAAACTTTGGAACACTGCCCTCTCTTACTGTCCTTCTCCTTCCTCTTTGTTTTCCCACTTTCTTGGCCGACCTGCTGTGCCCATATTGCAAATTAACAAGTTCATGACATGATATTCCCAACCCAGCCTTGTGAACTAGAACATCCCGTGTCCAGGATATTCAAATAGAGACAGAAGTCCTATGATCATGCTAGGCTTGCACAGGAAATGCCTGTCTAGGGTATGAAGGGATCAATCTCTTTATTTTGCTGAGGAAGAAACTGAGTTCCCAAGAACAGAAGAAGTGACTCTGATGTCATAATTTGAGTTTTAGGGGTTTTGGAGGACTCTAGCCCAATCTCTCTCTCTTCCTTTTTTTTTAAAATTAATTATTAATTTTGATTTATCAACAATCACTTCCATAAGCTTTTGAATTTTAAATTTTTCTCCCCCTCCCTCCTCACTTCCCTCCCCTAAGACGGCGCACAATCTGACATAGGCTATATGTATACATTCCTATTAAACAGACTTTCACATTAGTGATGTAAGTAAGAATTAGAACCAATAGGAGGAATTACCAGAAAGAGGAAACAAAACTCAACAGAAGAAAAAAAATAGCAAATATTATGCTTCGATCTGCATTCAAACTCCATAGTTCTTTCTCTGGATGTGGATAGCATTCCAATCTCTCTTTCAAAGAAGCAACATGAGGCCCATGGAGTTTGTGACTTGTCCAAAGTCATATAGGTACTAAGAACCAAAACAAGATTTGAACCCAAGTCCTCCCAATCTAGTCATACCATACCACTGCCTAAGTAATACTGTCCTTAGCTGTATTTATTGTCCTGCCTACCTTAGAGCTGGTAAAAACTGTCTTTGTATCTCTCCCTGCCTTGTCCATAGCAAGGGTTCAGATTTATTGAATGAACATAATTCCTTGTTTAGTGAGCAACAGTCCCAGGGCTTTTGGGACTTATGGGGCAAAGTCAGTTTTTAAAAATAGCTATGGCATGGGCATTCAGAGAATGCCCACATAGCAGAAGTAGAAGGGAGGAAAGAGCCTTAGAAAGACTTGGTGCCCCTGTGTCATTACATGGGAGGCCCTAAAATGTCTTGATGTGAGCTAACATCCCAGAGCTAACAGAGGGTCACTCCTCCTATTCCAGAGTTAGAAGAGAGACCACAGGCCCTCTAACAAGTTATAGCCTTTGCTTGAAGACCTCCTAAGAGGGGCACCTTCCTACTTACTGAGACAGCCCATTTCTGTTGGGGATAATTCTGGTTATTAGGAAGGCTTTCCAGACACCAAGCCAGATTTTACCTCTGCAGCTTCTCCCCAGGGCAATTAGTTCTGCCCTCTGTGATCAGGTATAAGAAGTCTGATTCCTCTTACACATGACAGATAAGTAAATGCCATTATCTGTTAAGGTGAAATGTTCTTTGTTTCACATGCTAAGTTAGACCGGACAAAGGAGGAGGAATGAAAACCGAAGTAGAACAAGGAGGAGAGCAAATGCAACTCGCAATGGAAGAAAGAGGCTTTAAGCTTTGTTTTTCATCCTTCCCCAAGATATATGAACAATGTGTTCACAAAATCAAGAGCAACTTAAATTCTGCCAAAAGCTCACAACACAAAGCTATCTCTGTGATGGCCAAGCTCCTCCAGCTAGCTCCTTGTCCCTGTTCATGGTGCTGAAATGGCTGACCTGGGAGTCAAACCCTGACCTTCTGGTGCCGTGTGCTAATCTGCCTGGACGTCTTGTAGATCAAGCATTCTCACACGCTGGCAGCTTAGCGTCACTGCGTGGACCCTGGATTTGGAGTCTGAAGGCTCTGGATTTGCATCTTAGCCCCGCTATTTACAGGTTCTATGACCTTGGCCAAATCTTAGTCTCAATATCCTCCCAGCGGAGGCTGTTTTTCTTAGGAGCAACATTTAGAAATGAATTAGCGTGGCTTCTGCTTTTCCAGGTTTTTTGTGAATTCCAGAAAGGTTGTAAGGCAGTGATTTGGACCTCTGAATGCATTTTCTAGTGCCTGGCCCAGAGTAGGCCCTTACTGAGCGCTTGTGGAATGACTACCCAGATTTTCTGCTAACATCATCCTTGCATCTAGTGCATACTTGTTTGCTTCAGCCTACTGAAGGCTCTGATCCCGTAATGTACCTGAAATACAGACTCCTGTGATAAACAAGGAGATAGAATAGGATATCAGACTGCTGTCAACTATAGTAATGTAATGCTCGAGGTGAAACCTCCCTATTTATATAACAGTCTTTATATGTGAAAAATGTGTTTAGGGTTACTATTTGGAATTCCTAGGGCATGCTATATTGCCATCTTCCTCCCCCATCCCTCCCTCCAGATTGTTGGGTAGATAAAATTTCATTTGTCTTGGTATTCCCAGGGGCTGGCACATAGTAGACCCTTAAAAATGTTTGTTGATTCAAATTTAACCTCTCTTTAGTCAATTAATCCACCCCCAAGCATTTGTTAAGTGCCTACTGTGTATGCACAGTCCCTCTTCTTTCCCACTCAATAATCTGTTAGTGCTGAATGGCGGCTCTTTAACCCTAAGGCATTGCTTGTTGACTCTGTGGTCTGAAGCAAGTAATTTAGGAGACACAGAGAAAACATCCTCCTCATAGTCATCCTGAAAGTACTTTGTATAAACCATCTAACCTGCTCCTCCATCACATCACTCCTGTGAGAGGATACTATACAGACATGATTCTGCTCATTTTACAGATGTAGATAGTGAAGATATGGGAGAATAATCTAGTCATTTGGACTTGCTCACGGTCCCATACAATATAAGCAACAGAGCTGGACCACAAAGCCCAGCCTTTTGCCTCACAGCCGTTGTTACCTCTTCTACATCACACATATCCACACCAATAGCCTACCATAGTTGGAAAAGCCCAGGATTTAGAGACTGTAGACTTGGGTTTCAATCCTAGCTCTGCCAATTACTAGCTTTGTGACTGTGGGCAACTTCCTGGACCTCTTGAAGCCTCAATGTCTTTGCCAATTACCTGAATATGGGATAACTCTTCAAGTTTCTTCTAGCTCTGAATCTCATGGGATTTCCGCCATGACTCTGTCCTTCATATACTATGCCACACTGCTTTTGGCATTAGGACAATGGGGTTGGGGACAGGCATTGGGCAGGAAGAGGGACTCCAGAGGACTGGGACCACTCTTTCTGTCCAATGATGCCAATCCTAACTTTCCTTCAAAGAAGAGTGTAAATGTCACCTTCACCAAGACATCTCATTCTCCCGATGTCTCCACTCATCTTCAGCTCCTACCACCAAGGTTACTTTTCTCTGAATTTCTATTGCCTTCCTAGTTCAGCAGCCAGTGCACTTTTGAGGTCTTTGGTGGGTATCTCTTGGTCCCAGCTGTCTTTCCAGTCTCTCTTATTTTCCCCTTCTCCTCCTCCTTTTTTTTTTAAACCTGCCCCAAGAATTGACCTCTCTCCCAGTACAACTTGTTGAACATGATTCAATCCACTAAGCATTTATTAAGCACTTGCTATGGCCTAGGCTCTGGACATAACCAGAGGAAAACAAAATAGTTCCTGACTGCAAGCAGCTTACATTCTACTGCTTTCAGCCAGCATTTACCCATGGTAGAAAAGAATGAAGTTTCACATCTTTCCCTCTGTTTTCCTTCCATCACAAGTAGCTCAAGATGTCATCAGAAGGTTGCTAAGGGTTTATACTCTGAGCATCAAGGAAGCCCTGGTTTCTTTAGAAGCCATTCCTAATTCTTTTTTATTTTTATTTGTCTCTCAGAAAGGAATTAGATGTTTGTTTAAATGATTAAAAAAGTCTCTCCTGGAGAGTTCTACTACACTATAAAAATATAGAAGATACCAAATGGAGTTGAGTTTACCCAGACCATGTCGACAGGGAAGAATCAATAATGCCCAATCAACTTCCTTGGGTTAAACCATTGTTTGGCCTGCCTACTTATTTGTCAACTTCACTTTCATTGCCTTTATGTCAGATAGGCATATTCTCGCCATCATTACTGTTGGAGAAATGGCATCAGACCTAAAAAAAAAATCTTAATATATCTGTGCAGTATTGAAGACAGAAACTCAAAATTCTAAATCCCTACTATGTGCCAAGCAGTGTGGCAGGTGCTGGGGCTGCAGAGATGAAAGTGAAACATGAAATGTTCATTCATGCTACACCGTAAGATTGTTTATTTTCGTTTCCTTAATGTGATTCCTTAAAGAGAAATTATTGTTGATTTAGAATTGGCGGTTTGGGGCATACATATTAATATATAGTAAATAACTTCATTGTCATAATTCCAAGGTGCTAATTGTTCAAGGAGAAGGAGAAATAATTCATTCAGCATATATGAGGACAATCAAATTTTTTTAAAAAGCAAGACAAATAAGCAAGTTTGAAAGAGATTACGCCATTGTTTCTAGCCATTTCAGATCCTTGAATAAAAAACACAGGCGTATTAACCACATTGAAGAAAGTGGCCACTCAGCTTCCTTAGTGATTGGGGCTTTTTAAATGCAACATGGGTCTGAAAAGAGAGTTATTGCCGCATGGCATCAAGACCACAGAAGACATGTTTGTGTGTACATACCCTTCCCGGTGAGCCTCTCCCTTTTCCAACTCCTGGATCACGCCCAGTAGCACTTTGATCGTTTCCTGGCTGGAGCTGATCAAGTTTTCCATCATCTGAAGCTGTGCTTTCAAGTCTATTACTTCTGTGTGAGGCACAATTTCATGGCATTCTTCACCCACAGCTGTCTGGCAAGGCGGAGTCTCGTCCGTCGGTGAGACGTTTCTCTGAAGGGCCTGCTCGTTCCATTCAACTGATGGGCACTGTGCCTGTGTGGGGCAGCTCACAGCATTTTCTGCCTGGGGATGGAGCCCGTTAAGATAACCAGTTCTCTTTTTCTCCTCCTCTATGGCTGGGCACAGTGACCATTCGCTCTCCGCTGCCAGGCTGGGCAAGGTGGGCTCGGTGGCTTGGGGACCAGGTGCAGGTGAATAAACAGTTGCTACTTCCGTCTTAAACACTCTGCCTTGCGCTGATGGATGGGCATCCTCAGCCACTGGCAGCGCTTTGTCGTGGATTGCCTTGTCACATGGCTGGTGGTCAGACTCTTCAGAAGCCGGGTCGCTGGAGTTTTGAAGACGAGAGCCTTTGACGCAGCTGTACAGATCCGGGTTTTTACAGGAATCTAAGCAGGAGTCACTAGGAGCCCGGTCCACGGCATTCATGTGTTCATCAGAATGGGCCATCAGGTCCCCTGCCTTTTGTTCACCAGCTGTCTTGCTGCACTGAGCAGCCTCCCCTGAGTTTTGACCGTCGCTCTGATCCTGGACATCTATTAGAAATCCATTGTTTTGACTCTTGAACGTGTTGGCCGCCTGGGAGCTTTTAATGATGCTTCCTTTTTTGCGATCCAGAGGGAATGTCTGGTAACACTTTTTCAGATCTGGGGAAGTCTGTACTCCTGTGCTCTTGGTCACGTTGGGAATAGACCTCCGGGCAGGCACTGTCATATACTTGCGATAAGCAGCCGCTTTGTAGGAGATGGGCTTGGCTTCCTTTCTGTCCGTTGGTAGCCCAGCAGCGAGCTGTCTGTCCCTTTGTTCGCTCTGAGCCTCGCAGATGTCTTTAAAGCGCACCTGTAGGGCTTTGTTCCTCTTCTTGATCTGCCGATTGGCATCCAGTGCATAGCGCATCTCCAAGGCCAGTGAAGCTGCTGGCTCCACATCACTTTCTGAAGGTGTGAGTAAGCATTTGCCAGCTTCCTTACTCACCATGATTCCTGCATTCAAAAACAGCACACAGAAACTCAGTTACAGAGGGAACAGGAAGGGGAAAAGAAAAGACACAATCAGCAAAATCTCATTTGTCTTTAGAGGAAGGTATTAAGAACCACACGGTATTCACAGCTGAGGTCGAACTGAGAAGTGGAGGAGAACCAGCCTGCTGAGAAAGCTGAGCTGCCCTGGCTCGAAATGTCTCTGCAACCATCATGCTTGCGTGGGCTTCTGTGTGGATTACACTACCTTTCTTTTCATAGCAATGCACGTTTCCCCATTACACAATCCTACTTCATTCATCAGGCAGGGTAATGACATTCCTAGTTCTACTTTAGAAATGATCATTTCATATATTACTTCCTCTTTTTTTTTTGACAGATGGTTAAACCAAATGCTATTTATTCCACTTGGACTTTCCTCTTTCTTGAACATGCCATGATTAATCTGTCCTTGGAGTCTAAGAGCATTACCGTTTCTGTGTACCAGAGTTTCTGAGCACTCAGTTCGGAGTCCGCATGTCTCTCCACCTCTGTGTCTAAAACAAGAGTTTCAGAGCTATTTTAAGTTGCTAATTATGGTAAGATGTGGTGGGATGCTAGTCATACCAGGTTCTCTCGAACAATATGATGGCATGGATAAAGGTGAGTTATTTAGGGAGTTTATGCACATTATGGAATGGACTGGGGGTTCCCCGCTTTGGTAGAGGTGAAGGTAAAAGCAACAGCCTTGGCTGGTGGGCTGAGTAGCCTTGGGAAACAACACTCATGGGTTTCAGGATTTTTTCCTTGAAAAAAATAATTTTTGGTCTTTTCACCCATCACTCCATAAAATGAAAACAATTGTGGTAGTTTCTGTACTTCAACACCTCCCCGCCCCCTCAAGTCTGAAGGCTTTGTGTTAATCATGCAAATTCATCCTGGTAGATGATGGAATGTGCCTGAAAGGCTGCAGGTGGCCGCTGACTCCTCTCAGGGAATGCCCACTGGGTAAGAATGCTGGGTTTTTATTAGGCAGCTTCACAGATGTGGTGAGCACATGGAGGACCTTCCTTGAGTATTTAACTCAAAGCAAGAAGATGTGGTTAAGGGTTGCAGTTGTCAGCAAAGAGCCTACTTCCTCCTGCCGGGGTGGACAACAAAATCCCTGGCAGAGTTAGAAGTCAAAACTCTTAGTTCTTGTTATTGGAATTATGCAGCGTGGTTGCTTGGCTGGTTGGATGGCTGAGGCCAAGGTGGCAAGCTGAAAGATGAAATGTGGCACAGTCAATCCAATACCAAGGAACTGTGTAGTCTCAAAGTGGCAAGGTGGTACAGTGGACAGAAGTCTGAACCTTGAGTCAGGAAGACCCAAGTTCAAATCCTGCCATGGGCACTTAGTAGCTAGGTGACTGACCTTGGGCAAGTCACTTAACCTTGTCTGCCTCAGTTTCCTTAATTGTGAGATGAGGATAAACATTACACCTGCCTCCCAGGGACGAATATTGTGAAGATTAAATGATATATTTGCAAAGCACTTAGCCTAGTACCTCTGACATAGTAGATGCTTCATCAGTGTTGATTCCCTTATCATTACCATTCCCCAAAGCCCACTAGTGAGTGTGCAGTGATTACCGTCAGTGACAAAGCTTAGTCAGAGGCAACGATTCTCTTGCTGACTCTAATGATTGTTGAGGTTTAAGGCTCAGAGCTCCTTCGTACAAGGGCCCCATGGTGAAGGTTTGTCTCTAATGCCTCTCAGAAGTGCCTGGCAAAGTGTAGGCACTGAGTAAATATTCCACAATTGAATTGAATCCCCATTTTCAGTGAGGAAACTGAGGCAGAGTAAAGTGAAATGACTTGGACAGGCTGTATCTAGGATTTGAACTCCGCTCTCAACTCATCATCTAGCTCTTTCCACCGAGGTATTTAACTATGTGGAATGATCATAAGGCCATAGAATTTGGACTGGGAAAGGTCTAGATCATTACTCCAACTTGTTCTTTTTGTAAGTGAGGAAATGAGTCTAGAATGGGAAAAACACCTTTCCCAAGCTGCATGGGGTGTAACTGGGAGAGAATCCACCTGCTGTCCCATGGAACACAACATAACCCAAACCCAAAACCCACGAAGACCACAGTAAATGGCCAGTCAATCAATTAACATGAGTTCAGTAAGCTCTTACTACATCCCAGGCAGTGTGTTTCGAAGAGAGGCCAAGACTGCCCCTGCCCGCAGGGAGCTCCTAATCTACAGGGAAGGGGGACAGGCCTGCAGCTGGGCTCTGTCTGCTGTGTCTGCACAGGTGAAGGCCAGGCTATTCATATTCGGCTTTTTTTTTTTCCTTTTGGTAAGCGTATGAGCAGAAGGTCAAGTAAAATTTCCAGCAGTTTGGACATTTGCCTGATATTTAAAAGTCAACAAGCAGCACAGACAAACAAACATTTTATTTTATGACTAAGATAAATTGTGCATTTTATAAGTTGTGGCATAAACAACTTAATCAATGAACAGTTTGGAAGATAATGAAAATTAACCAAGTCTGAGGACTCTTAGACTTTTAAAAAATAAGGATACGAGGCACCCTTTGAGGCTGGCCTCAGTTATGGTCTTTCCTCTTGGACTCTGAGGATATGAGTGAGTGTAAGGGAGCTAAAAATGATGGAAATATAAAATGTGGCACTGGTGCGCTGTAAAGCTCCAGTTGTTTTTCAGCACATTGGTTGTACCACGTACAAAAACTCCAGTCAAAGCTTGAACGATGGAACCTGCCACCCACAGCGGTCAGCCAATGGAAGATGAGGAAAGGGGCATTTGCAAAGTCCATCCAGAATGACTGAGTGCATGTACAGAGAGAGGGAGGGCGGGAGGGAGATGAGCTAATTAGTAATAGTGTGAAATTAAGAACTACTTAGGCTTATGGGCCTTCAAGGTTTATACTTAAAGTTTTGCCATCTGCACAACTACCCTATGAGGGAGGTAGTGCTGGTTTGACTGTGCTGGTACCATTTTTCAGAGGAAAAAACTGAGGCCCAGAGAGGTTAAAGGACTTATCCAGAGCCACACAATTAATTCCAGCTATGATTTCAACCAAAGTCTCTTCCAGCCTCCCATTCTTTTTTCTTTTTTTTAATTAATTTGGTACGTTAGAAAAGCACACCCTATTTTTGGAGTGAGAGGACCTGGGTTCAAATCCTGGCTTTATCACTTACTGCCTGTGTGACTTTGGGCATATCACTTAACCTTTCTTCTTTTTCCCTCATCCATAAAATGAGTCAGTTGGGCTAGGTGGCAGGTAAAGGCCTTTCCAATGTTCAATCTGCTATCCTATGATCTAGAGTATGTCATTCTGTATAATTTTGAAAAACTCTTCCTGTTTTACCCATCTGTGTGTGACAGTGGGCAGGGGAAAAGGGCTTCGTGTGTGAGACAGGGGGTGGGAAAGCAAGAGGCTTCTTGTGGGGGTGTTGGTTCTGCTGGGGGCATAGGCTGGGACACCTCTTGCTAGGGCTCTCAGCAGGCCCTTGACAAAGGCCTGATGGCAGTCTCTGACCCCTCGTAGAGGGACCAGACCTCCATGGCCACCCTTCTTACCTCTTTCCTCATTTTGTGCCGACCTCCTCTTGAAGAAGGCCACCATATTGGGGGAATTCTGAGAGAACATTTTTACAAAAAGCAATTTACTTGTGATTTTTCAGCATTTTCCCTGCCATGACTGAAAAATGTGTGTCTGAATAAATTTGTCCTCTCATGCTATTCATCATGAGCATTGCTAGCAAGTGCCCACAGCCGGCCATTAGTTTTGGAAGGTATTCTGAATCAGCAATCTTCTCTCACTAATAAAGCGACGCTAGACATGGCAATTACTTGTAGCGGGAGAAATTATAACTCAGTGCTGTAACTTGGGGATATTGAGGAATCGATAAGCTGACCAGCATCCAGGGGAGGCCAGCCAGCGTGGTGAAGGGCCTCACTATCACTAGAGTGCAGGTTGGCCAAGGAAGATAGAACAGAAAATGCCAGCAAAACAGTCATGACCCCAGGTCTTCTCCTTAAAGGAAGTCACTGCCACAGAGGAAGAGATCCCTTTGGGTGACCCTATGCTATGCCCTTCAGGTCTGACCCTTAGAGATACCTGCTGCTGACCTCCCCCAGCAAAGGGCTGGCACCAGTTATGCCAGTGAGGGGCATCGCAAAGAACACCACTGACCGCATTATCTCAATTGGAGCCTGCCTCCAAAATGTATCATCTCAGCTGTTAGATCTGAGTTCTAATCTTACCTTCAAACCCTTGCCAGCTAAGTGTGAGACACAGGACAAGTCTCTTAAGCCCTCTCTGTTTTAGTTTCCTCATCTATTCGCTGAGGATAATAGCAGCCCCACCCCCAGGATTGTTATGAGAATCCAGTGAGGGGCACAGTACAAACCTTAAAGTCCTCTAGAAATGCAAGTGGTTGATGTTGCTATTGTTGATGAGGAATCTCACTTTGCTGCGGTTGTAGAGATTGTTGACCTTAAAGCTCCTAGAGACCACCATGTTTGGTACACAAAACCCTTCACAACCTGGCTCCTGGCTAGACTTCCTGGTTTATTCCATTTTATTCCCCTTTGTGCCTCCACAGTGCAGCCAAACGCCTTCCTACTGCCCCTCACACCTACTCCCATTGTCCCTGTACGGACTCCCCTTCATGCCTCTTCCTCCTCCCCTCCGCTTCCTGGAATCCTTGACCCTAGCTGCATCACGTTCTTCATGAGTCCTTTGCTGATGCACTCCGCTGTGAGCATCCGCTTCCCTCTTCTGTGGAATATCAGCTAATATGTACTTTGAGTGTTTATGTACCCACACATCTATGTAAACATGCCTGTGTATAATCCGTATTTACACACGCATGCACACGCACTTACTCATAGCTACTCTTTCTCCCAATATATTTTGTAAGCTCCGTCAAGTAAGCGAGTGTTTGACTTTGTTCACCGTGTCCCCACCCTGTTGTAGTGCCTCGCCTGGCACCTAGGCAGGTGCTCAG